CACGCATGTACAGTGCGATTGAAACTTCGTGGCCCATGCGCAGAAGTAGGTATTTTGTGGAAGAGCCACACTCAAGGGGCCAAAGAGCCGCATGTGGCTCGCGAGCCGCAGTTTGCCGACCACTGTTAGGAAATTGGGAATTGAGAAGAAAAGGCTGTTTGGGAGGAAGGTAGAGGAGACTGATGGGCAGAGACCTGGGATCTCACCCCTTTCTCTCTCTCTCTCCCAACAGTGGGCGTTCTACCTGTTCCTGGTTAAGTGCACCATCAGCATCTCCACCTTCTTGCTCCTTTGTTTCATCTTGGCCTTCCATGCCAAAGAGGTCCAGGTAGGGTGGGCCCCGCCCCAACCCCTTCCTTTTGCCGCCAGCCCCCACCACGCCCTGTCAGCTCACACTTTCCATCCTCCTCCTCCTCCTCCTCCTGGGCTGAGTAATGAGGTTCCTCTGCCCTGAGATGCGTCCACACCCTCACCCACTGGAATGGGATGAACCGTGGACAGACCAACAAGGCCTCCTGGAGCAGCCCCGTCCCTTCCTCCACCCGCTGCCCCGTTGCCCCTGCACACTCATGGATGCTGAGCTCCTGCCCCCAGGCCTCTGTCCACTCTGCCCCCAGGCGGCCTCACTCCAGGCCTGGCCTCCCAGATTTCTGTCCTCCATACCTGAGCCCCCACCTATTCCAATCCCAAGCAACCCGAGACCCCGGGTGTGTGCCCACAGGCCCTTCCCCACTCCCGAGCTCCCCTCTGTGCCAATGTCCCCCTGACTCAGGAGCCCTTCCCACCCCTTTCTCCCTCCAGTGTCATGTCTCTCCACCCCTGGCCCCCTCAGATGCACCCCCACCCCCAGATCCTGTTCCCTCCTCCCTTCCCCCATGTAAAATGGGGTTACTGGCCGTGTGCGGTAATGTCCCTCGCAGGGCTGGTGTGTAAGCGGTGCTTGGTAAAAAGTACACGTTCTCGCTCACAGCAGTCATTTGAGCAGTGGAGTGCCCTGGGTTTGTAGCCTGGCGGTGCCACTGCCCACCTGGGGAACCTGGGGGACCTGGGCCTCAGCTCCCACACCTTTAAATGGAGGTACTAACGCTTCCAACCCCATGTGCTGGGAGCGTTCACTGAGTCACAGCATGTACGCAGTGCCCTGCACGTCCAAATGCCCCCTCGGTGTCAGCTGTGGTCGTGGCTAACGGTATGCCCACCACGGTCACCACACACATGTCCCAGAAACAGGACTAGGAGGCGGCTCCATGGATGCGGAGGGTACGCTCCAGGAAGGCAGGGGTGTCTGTCTGTTGTTCCCATCAATACATAGAACAATCTCAGGCACCTGGGAGCCCCACTAGGTGTTCCTGGCCGAACGTTCTGGAAGGGGGCTGACCTAGGCGGGAGGGGAGAAGTGGGAGACATGTCCTCCTCGAGTGCTGCAGCCCTGCTCCGCGCCCACCCTCCGCAGCCCCACGCCCCGCTCCAGGAAGGCAGGGGTGTCTGTCTGTTGTTCCCATCAATACATAGAACAATCTCAGGCACCTGGGAGCCCCACTAGGTGTTCCTGGCCGAACGTTCTGGAAGGGGGCTGACCTAGGCGGGAGGGGAGAAGTGGGAGACATGTCCTCCTCGAGTGCTGCAGCCCTGCTCCGCGCCCACCCTCCGCAGCCCCACGCCCCG